CCGTGAGTGGTTGATACATATTCTTCTGGTACAGATAATCCTCGATCTGCATCTTCTAGAAGCCAAAGTCCGCACCATCAAACTTTTCAATTTTCATTTTTCCTTCGTCTGCAGCCATCACTTCGACTCTGATCTGATTTCTCTGCCGGATCGTTTCTGTAATTTTGTGAACTACCGTGTTTCAGAACACGACGGTAGATAAATTTGTAGCGCCGACAAATTTGACACTATTCCCGTTTTTCACTATTCACGGAATAGTAACACACACAAAAATTACAGAATTAACAGTCTGGCTCTGATACCAGTTGTTGGGAAAAAAATACGCTGAAATTTCCATGAAATCGGATCTATAAAAGTGAAATAAAAAAAGCGAAAAAATTGGACACGCCAAATTGATAATGGAGTTTGGCCAATAATACCTACGTCTCCGGACTATTAGAGATATTTTATTAGAACAAAAGAAATACACTCATATTTACAAAACACTCGCAAACTCACTCACAACTCACAACACAAATATATACAGAAGCTAAAACTTTCGTGCTTCGTGTTCCCTCTTTTTTTCTCTCTTTCTCTATGTGTTGTTGTATTTGGTGTGTCTGTCCATTTGAATTAACTCCTCTATTTATAGAGAGGAGATGCTGCCAATTTTCCACATAAGGCTGCTGAAGGAAGTGCACCATTTCCACAAAAGGTTGCTGAATTTTTTTCTCCAAATGTGTGCTGGTCCTTTTTTAGTCATTTTGCTGCTTTCAAAAATAATGGGCGCAGCCCTTTTTTTTACTTCACAGTTGAGTTTGAATCTGCTGGTTTACTCTGCTTTCCCCTTTTACCATCGTCGATGAGATTAAATTTGGTCATATTCAGATGGAGGCAGTTTATCTAAACACTGAGCCTATTTTCGGCGAGGATGATGATGATTATGAAAACGGAGTCTGTTCAATGGTGGAAAATAGTGATGACACTCAAGAAATGCAGTTGAAAAGGGATTTTCTGCCACCTACTGTTGGTTTGTAGTTTGATTCTTTCGATGAAGCGTACAACCTCTACTATGTCTATGCCAAAAGACAAGGGTTTGGAATCCGACTGAGCAATTCGTGGTTCAGATCGAAA